CACCAGGATGGGGACACCTGGGACCTCCTGTGTCACCATCCGGGTGAGGGGTGGGCTCCTGCCCACGTGGCATCACTCATGGCCTCGTCTCCCCCACTCTAGATGGACACGTTGGAGCCCATCGGGGACAACATCAGCGGCATGGCCCGCTGTCCCTACGACCCCAAGCACGCCAACGTGGCCCTCTTCACAGGTCAGTGCTGGCACCACCCTTGGGGTCCCTGTCCCCCCACCCCGTGCCCAACTGACGTCCTTCTCCTGCGCAGGGGGGATGCTCTTCACCGCCACGGTGACGGATTTCCTGGCCATCGACGCCGTCATCTACCGCAGCCTGGGGGACAGCCCGACCCTCCGCACCGTCAAACATGACTCCAAATGGTTCAAAGGTGCCTCCCCGGGGTGTGGTACCCACCGTGTGCCACGTGGCACCCGTCCCTGTCCCCTTTCACACCATCCTGGGACATCCCTGACCCTACCACTGTCCCCACAGAGCCCTACTTTGTGCACGCCGTGGAATGGAAAAGCCACGTCTACTTCTTCTTTCGGGAGATCGCCATGGAGTTCAACTACCTGGAGAAGGTGGGAGACAGCCCTGGGGTGGCCCAAGACACCCAGAGTGGGGACAGGGACAAGGGGATGGTCATCGGCGTTGGGTACCACGTAGTGATGGGTGTCCATCCTGTAGGTGGTGGTGTCCAGGGTGGCCCGGGTGTGCAAGAACGACATGGGGGGCTCGCAGCGGGTGCTGGAGAAGCAGTGGACCTCCTTCCTCAAGGCCCGGCTCAACTGCTCCGTGCCGGGCGATTCGCATTTCTACTTCAACGTCATCCAAGCCGTGACAGACATCTTGGAGCTGGACGGGCGCCCCGTGGTGTTGGCTGTCTTCTCCACACCTGCCAACAGGTCAGAACCTCTTGTGTCCCACCAAGACCTCCAGTGCTGGGCTGGGATGCCCCAGTGCCCATGGGGGACGTGGGGGACAGGGTGAGGTGTTCACCCCCTGCCCATGTCCCCTCAGCATCCCCGGCTCGGCCGTCTGCGCCTTCGACATGACCCAAGTGGCTGCTGTCTTCGAGGGACGTTTCCGGGAGCAGAAGTCCCCCGAGTCCATCTGGACACCCGTGCCCGAGGACATGGTGCCCAAACCCCGGTGAGTGACCCACGGCGGTGACAGGGATGGGGACAACCAGGCTGGGACCTGCAGGAAGGGACACGGGGAGGGAGGTGAGGACAGGGATGGGGACGGGGACAATGAGGTCTGGTGTCCATGGGGAGAGTGATGGAAGTAGGGATGGGGTGAGGGATGGGGACAGGAACGACCAGGGGTGGTACCTGCAGGGAGGGTGGTTGGGATGGGGACAGGGATGATGATGGGGACGGGGAGAGGGTTGGCAAGGGCTGGTACTGGCAGGGACAGTGGTAGGAATGGAGAAAGGGATGGGGATGGGGACAGGGATGGGGAGGGGGACAGGGACAACCAGGCTGGTACAGGGTCAGGGATGGGGACAGGGACAGGGATGGGGACAGGACCGATCAGGTCTGGTACATGCAGGGAGGGTTGGTGACAGGGATGATGGTGGGGACAGGGACAGGGTTGGCAAGGGCTGGTACTGGCAGGAGCAGTGGTGGGGATGGAGAAAGGGACAGGGATGGGGACAGGGATGGGGAGGGGGGCAGGGACAACCAGGCTGGTACCCGCAGGGATAGGGATGAGAGTGGGCACAGGGTCAGGGATGGGGACAGGGCTGGGGACAGGAATGATCAGGTCTGGTACATGCAGGGAGGGTGGTTGGGTTGGTGACAGGGATGATGGTGGGGACAGGGACAGGGTTGGCAAGGGCTGGTACTGGCAGGAACAGTGGTGGGGATGGAGAAAGGGACAGGGAGGGGGACATCCTGACACCAGCAGGTAGAAGGGTAGAGGGGAGGGGGATGAGGATGGGGACAGGGATGGGGACAGCCAGGGCCAGCACCAGCAGGGATGGGGACAGGGATGGGGGACAAGAACAGTGGCAGACAGCTGGGCTGGGGATAGGGCTGGAGGTGGCAGGTCTGGGGACAGGCAGGGCTAGGGACAGGGCTGGGGACAAGGCCAGCGTGGCCGTGGGGACGCTGAGCTGTGCCGTGGCCGCAGGCCCGGGTGCTGCGCGTCCCCGGGGATGCGCTACAACTCCTCCAGCACCTTCCCCGACGAGATCCTCAACTTCGTCAAGACGCACCCGCTGATGGACGAGGCGGTGCCCTCCCTGGGCAACGTGCCCTGGATCCTCCGCACCATGAGCCGGTGAGAGCCCCAGGGCAGGATCCGGACTGGGAAGGACTGGGAGGAACTGGGGGGACTGGTGGGTGCTGGTGGGTGCTGGCTGGAGCCTCTTCCATCACCCTTGCACGCGCGTGCCAGCGCCGGGAGAGTGCCAGGAGACCTGATAAATCTCATAAACTTCGCAGTCAAGATCATCTCATCCTAATTAAATCTGCCTTAATTGCTGCTTGATGGGGAATTAATCAAGCGGTGCTCTCGGGCCGCAGCCTCCCGCCAGCAGGGCAGCTGGGGCGGCCATGGGGCTGGGGACGGGGACGTGGGGCTGGGGATGAGTGTTTGGGGACGGGGATGGGGACACAGGGTTGGGGACAGGACCATGAGGCCAGGATGGGGACCCAAGGCTGGGGATGGGGACCATCTGGGATCCTACCAAGGGACTGGGGGCATCTGGGCTAGTTCCTTGGTGGGATCTGAACTGGGTCCCAGTGGGGATCTGGGTGGGATCCAGGCTGGGTCCAGGCAGGACCTGGAATGGGTCATGGGTGGGATCTGGGATGGGTCCTGGCCAGGATCTGGACTAGTTTCCATTTGGGATCTCCATGGCCCCTCGCGCTCCCTGGGGATCTCCTGCTCTGGACCAGCCACAGCCTGTCCATCCCCATGGAGGGTCCCAGCCCCCCTCCACCTCATTTTCCTCCTCCCCGGGGACACACAGGCACCCACACCCCCCAACCTCTGCTCTGTTCACACCACGCAGGTACCAGCTCCGCAAGATCGTAGTGGACAATGCAGCAGGGCCATGGGGCAACCACACCGTGGTCTTCCTGGGCTCCAGCACGGGCACCGTCCTCAAGTTCCTCATCCAGCCCAACGCCAGCACCAGCCCTGCTCCTGCTCCCCCTGGCAGCCAGAGTGTCTTCCTGGAGGAGTTTGAGACCTACCAGCCTGGGAGGTGGGTGCTGGGGTGTTGGGAGGGAGAGGAAGGGTGGATGGATGGATGGATGGATGGATGGATGGATGGATGGATGGGCAGATGGATGGATGGATGGGCAGATGGGTAGGTGAGCGTCTGGTTGGGTGGATGAATGGTTGGGTGAGTGGTTGGGTAGGTGGAGGGGTGGATGGATGGATGGATGGATAGATGGATGGATGGATGGATGGATGGATGGATGGATGGATGGATGGATGATCAATCAATCCATGGGTGAGTGGGTCAATGAGTGGTTGGAGAGCTGGCTGGATGGGAGGTGGTTGGATTGATGGATGGATGGGTGGGTGAGATGTTTAGGGAGGGATTGATTGACAGTTGCAAGGTGAGAGGGGAGGATGAATGAGGTGGGTGGGATGGATGGATGGGTGAGATGGATGGATGGGTGAGATGGATGGATGGTTGGAGGGCATGGATCAGAGGGATGCGAAGGGTGGGTGGGGGGAATGGATGAGATGCCCTCCTCTGGACCAGCCTATCCTGGCTCCATGGTGGGCAGGCAAGGACCAGGGACATGCTGAGCTCTGCCCTGTCCCCAGGTGTGGCCGGGACACGGAGGACGAGCGGCGGCTCCTGGGGCTGGAGCTGGACAAGGCGGCGGGGTCCCTGCTGCTGGCCTTCCCCCCGTGCGTGGCCAGGGTGCCCGTGGCTCGTTGCCAGCAGCACTCGGGCTGCATGAAGTGAGTGTGCCGGTCTCAGCCACCCCCTGGGGTGGCTCTCTTTTTTGGGGGGGCGGGGGGGATGCAAAGAGCAAGGAGGGGTTACCTTCACATCCCAGGAATCTGCCCTGCGGTGGGATCCGGCTGGGAAAGGCTCAGCATGGCTTGGGAGCAGAGCCAGGGGAAACTGAGGCACGGCGTGGTGCGGGGTCATGGGGGGGTCTGTCGTGGGGGTCTGGGGTGTCATCCCCACCCTGTGTCTGATCCTGATGTCTCTGCTCCCTGCCAGGAACTGCCTGGGGAGCCGGGATCCCTACTGTGGCTGGACGCCCGAGGGCTCCTGCGTCTTCCTGGAGCCCAGCCCCAGGTAACGCTGCCAGGCCCTGGGGGGGGGGGACGGACATTGGGGGACACAGTCAATCAATCCATGGGTGAGTGGGTCAATGAGTGGTTGGAGAGCTGGCTGGATGGGAGGTGGTTGGATTGATGGATGGATGGGTGGGTGAGATGTTTAGGGAGGGATTGATTGACAGTTGCAAGGTGAGAGGGGAGGATGAATGAGGTGGGTGGGATGGATGGATGGGTGAGATGGATGGATGGGTGAGATGGATGGATGGTTGGAGGGCATGGATCAGAGGGATGCGAAGGGTGGGTGGGGGGAATGGATGAGATGCCCTCCTCTGGACCAGCCTATCCTGGCTCCATGGTGGGCAGGCAAGGACCAGGGACATGCTGAGCTCTGCCCTGTCCCCAGGTGTGGCCGGGACACGGAGGACGAGCGGCGGCTCCTGGGGCTGGAGCTGGACAAGGCGGCGGGGTCCCTGCTGCTGGCCTTCCCCCCGTGCGTGGCCAGGGTGCCCGTGGCTCGTTGCCAGCAGCACTCGGGCTGCATGAAGTGAGTGTGCCGGTCTCAGCCACCCCCTGGGGTGGCTCTCTTTTTTGGGGGGGCGGGGGGGATGCAAAGAGCAAGGAGGGGTTACCTTCACATCCCAGGAATCTGCCCTGCGGTGGGATCCGGCTGGGAAAGGCTCAGCATGGCTTGGGAGCAGAGCCAGGGGAAACTGAGGCACGGCGTGGTGTGGGGTCAAGG